CTGCATTGAATGCTGCTTGCGGCCAGAGCTCTGGCGGGGCGCGTTGAGGTGAAGTGGGGCGCTGAAGGCCAGCGGTGTGCTGGAAGCCATAGCCGGGCTGCTGGGCGCTAGGGGGTAAGAGGGCGATTTGGTGGTCTTCAGGGAAGGAGGCGAGTGTGTGGGTTATCAAGGTCTAATGAGGGTGACTAGATACGTACCTGGTGCATGAGGAGAGGTCGGCTATGGTGTTGACATCATGTACATTGGTCTTCGAGAGTCGAAGTGAGCCTGTTGCGTGAACACAGCTGTAGGTAGGATAGTCGAGTAGAGTAGGCTAGGTGCTGGGCGCCAGACAGAGAGGAGCGACTTTGGATACTGTGTTGGTGTGGCCTGAGGGCTTGAACATTGGCTCATTACTTCATTGTATTGCTCTATTTGGATGGATTCTCGGTGCAATTGAGCTCTCTGCTTGTACACAACTACTTGGACATCTGTGTGATTTCGCAACTTGGTTTTCTGTATATCGGTCACACTCATATTCCTTGCACTTGGTTAAAAAAACAGAAAAAAAGAAGCAACCGTTGCCAAGGGGTTGGGAGCACAGCGGCCTAGCTCAGTTGGTAAGTGATGCAAGTGGCATTCAAGAGGTCATGGGTTCAATCCCCATTGGCCTCATGTACCTTCCTGGGCAAGCTTGGTGCCCACCACCTAGAGATAATTCCGTTGGTCCCCCCAGAGTGGCATTGAGCAGAGACTGCTGATGTTCACAGGGGGAGGGGACTGGGGGGGAGGCACAGTGACAGGCCCATTGAAGAAGCTCAGTCCTGATGCTACCGGTATCGCCCACCTGCTGAAGCAGGTATCGCACCTACTGTTCGGTGTAGCCCCTGTATGTTCCCTCGTTGAACACGGTGTGGCGGCTACAGGGTTCCCGTAATACTAGAATGATAATGAGAAAGGCCTGAAACTGCAAGGCTGTCCTTAAAAAAAAAAGGGGGGGGCTAGCTTTGCCCCGAGAAAAGCCGGCCCATGAGCTGTTAAAGACCTGAGTTCGCATCCAGATGGAAGTAGATGAATGAACTCAAACATTGATCTCCATAATCTACAGTACAGTAAAGAATGAAGAATCCAGGCAAGTTGATCTTCTCCCCAGGGTTGAGGTCCCACTTGCACAGATTAAGAGATGTAGACCATAGATAGAGAAGATCAACGGCCAGTATCAGGGGCAATATCTCGTAACTCGCGCAACTGGGACCACACGGCAAGAGGATAAAGTGAGCAAGTTCAGACCTGAGCCAATTGATTGTCAGGTCTGAACCTCTTTTATTTAAAGATTGGCTCTGATGAGAATCCATTGGCTTGCTTACATGGATGCTCCTCCTGCTGCCAGTTGGGTGACCCCGACATTCCTTTAAGCCCAACCGACAATTCAAGTACCAGTCAAATCTGGACAGGACGGCCTTTCAGGCCTTTCTAGTTTATCATCATAGTATTACGGGGAACCCTGCAGCAACCAGGCCAAGTTCAATCCTCCAATGAGGGAACATGCAGCCGGTAGCATAAGGAATGGCTGCTTCTTCGATGGGCCAATCACTGTGCCTCCCCTCCGGTACCCTCCCCTTATTAAGAACATCAGCAGTCACCGCTCAATGCCGTTTGGGGGACCAACGGGCTATCTTTAGGCGGCAGGTGCCAAGCTTGACGAGGAAGGTACACAAGGCCAATGGGGATTGAACCCGAGTCCTCTTGAATGCCACTTGCATGCCTTACCAACTGAGCTAGGCCGCTGGATACCAACAGTAAAGTTACAGCTCCAGTATAATGTTTCTTTTTCTTCTTATTTATTATGAATCATGAATTGATCCCCTCCATCTCACAAACAACCCTCTTGAATGCACGTTGAGCGTCAGTGATCTAGGTACGGACAGAATCTCTTCATCCACTGGAAGGTGCAACCCTGCATTGCCAAGTGAGCCCTCGCCCTGGGGGCTTATGTCCCACAGTCTGAATCCCTATTCTGCGCCTAATAGTTGATTCTCCGTAATGTACGGCCCAGATAAACGAGTTCAGGAGCGTTGGACCTTTCCTAGGGAGGCTACCATACTGGGTTGAATACCTAGCTTCAGATTTGGCATGAAGCGAGTATTCAATCTTTTTTTTTTTTTTTAACCCTTTTTTTTTTTCAAATGTGGACCATTTCTCGATTATGTGTGTGTCATCCTTACTTGTGCAGGGGCTATGCTAGTCTTCTCCGTATTGTTCCAATTTTAATATAACGGATGTCCAGAAGGACAGCAATCATTCAATCGTAACCATTTCTTGTCCATAAATTTGGGAAGCAATGGTTCAATAATCAGAACTACTTTTTTTCCTTTTCTTTTCTTTTCTTGAACATGATTGCTTAAGAGCTGAACTGCTTCCATCGGGGTGGAAAGAGCCCCAGCCAGCTGGGTGACGATGGCTCCAATCTATTTGTGGGGAGCTGCACTTGCTGGAAACCGGGCCCAGCGGGCCCAGCGTCCCTAACTTTTTACACTTTTTTTTTTCTTTTTTTTTCCGACGTCAAAGGGCCCAGTTCCCAAGGCTCCAATTATGAAATTGATTACAACACTTGTACACACGCCTCTTCCCATTAGGGCTGGAAGAGCCTCAGCCACTGCTCCCCAGGAGACAGCTTCGCTGTAGAACACGAATATAACATGAGCACCGGACATTGATTGCTTCCCCAGTGATGAAGGATAAACCCCGTTGTGTGCAGAATCAAGCTCGGCCCTACACTCCTCAATTACACCTACTTTAATCTTCTGCGCGGTGAGGAGTGGGGGAGATACCATCAGGGCAAAGAGAATGATAACAGGGCAAAAGAGTTTAGTGCATCAGTAATTAGGTCGAGCTTCCCCTGAGCAGCAGTAGTTAACACAGACGCAAACCACAGGGGAGCAGACTAATTGGAAGAAAATTCTAATCTGTACCAGGTCCTACAGATCATCAAACCAAGTCAAACCCTAAATGATGATGACCAAGGTATAACAGTACTCATGACACCCCACCTGTCGCATACCGTAATGGTACATACCAGAACAAGAACCGACCTCTCTCACATAGTACAGGATAGCGCAGCAGAAGGCTAAAATACCAGTGATCAACCCAATCAATGTCGCAATGCAGACCAAACACACATCATCATCATCGCAAGGCGTGAAAGGACCTGGCGCTCACACAGAAAGAATGCGCCAGTCCCAAACATACACAGACGAGGAGGAGGGGGATCAGACGAAGAAGAAGGGGAAGATGGGAATGTCGTCAACACCAAGTCTTCGATATAGGTCCTCCCAAATAATCCCTCGTCCAATGTCTCGGTCCCAATGTCGAGTCTGAATCCAAATGTTGTCAAGTCTCAAAGTCGCAAATCTCTCTCTCTCTCTTAGTCTGTAGATACTGAGAAGTCAGATAGCGAGAGGGTGATGGTGGACTTGAGGAAGAAGAGAACTCTCTCTCTCTCTCTTGTGCCAAGTACTGACCTGTGAAGGTGGCGCCTTGTTGCAGGTACATCGAAGATGAAGCTGGAGCTATGGCACCACAGGTAAGTCTCCCTGGCCTCCGCCACATCTCTCTCTCTCCCAACGCTACTGTAAGCTCCTAACAGCGCCCAGCACTGAAGACTACTCCTAGCTACTACTACTGCAGCGCTCCTACAGAGTGCTGCTGCCGAATCCTGAAGACTGCCTCCTGCCTCCTGAACTGCACGTGAAGTGCCCGAGAACTACCTGCAGCCTGCATGGCGGACCAGTACTATATAGTGCTGGTCCGGCCTGGGAGGCTGCTCTTGCCCATGCCGAATCGTGCCAGACCCTCGCGTTGAAGTTCAAACAAAGGTTGTCTTGAAACAGGCCTAAAAATGGCCTGCGCTAAACCTACCTGGTCTGGTGCCTAAGTTTCAGGGGAGGTAGACTTTATGAGGGCCTGAAAATGGCCCTCCTTTTCAGGCTTTTAGGCTGAAACGACACAGGGCCTGGAGGGCCCTTATTTTCCGTCTGGTCGGGCCCTGCAGGCCCGTGTGGCTGCGCAGTATGCCACACCACTGCTACAGAATCTGAACACAGGACACGCCAAAAGGGAAAGCACATGTGTCCAAGGTGGAAACGATCCATCAGACTAAAACAGCTAAACACCAATCAGCCACAGGTGGATAAGCTTCCTCTCCAAGCACCCCTCCACCCCTCTTCCTTCTGCCAGCCAGAGCAATACAATCGAGAACCAAGAAAGGAGGAGGGGTGAGGGAGAGCCTTCCGCTTCCCATCACACTACCCCACGCCACCACGTGCGAAAGGCTGAATGGCAAAGGCGAGAAGGACAAAGGGCGCAGCGCTACTGGGAGCGTTGCGCCCCAGTCGCTCCGCAAGCAGGTTCTGCTGCCCGCGATCTCATGCTGCCATCAGCACTAGATCGATGCAGGAGCGCTCGTGCCACCTGGCACAACGAATGCGCTGACGCATTGGTAGAGTGTGACGTGGCGCTCCCGGAGCCGATCGTCCTCCACGTGGCGACGCGATAGGAGGAGGATAAAGGAGTATTGGATATCGCATTCTAAGTGTGGTGCGCCGGAATTGCTACGACAGGCTCGTGGGGTCGAAGGCGCTCCCGCTCATGAGCGGGATCTTCATGGTAGCGTTCAGGACGTTAGCTGGGACGACATACAGAAGGCGATTGTAAGGGAAGAGATGCGCGGGCAATGTGACATTGTGAGGTGTTAAGTCATTATCATCATCAGCAGCAGCAGCATCAGGAGCCAGTAGTGGCAGCGGCAGTATCAAGGGTAATCATTAGCTGCCATCATCACCATCATCATCGTCATCATCACCATCTTCGGTTTTATCATCGCTGTCATCATCATCATCATCATCATCATCATCATCATCATCATCATCATCGGCGGTTATCATCACCATCATCATCATCATCTTCATCATTATCATCATCATTATCATCGTCATCATCATCATCATCAGTATGGAGGCTGGCGTGCTTTTCAACCAGAGCTTCCTTTGGGCCCAGCGGAGTGGGTATGGCTATCATGCGTCATCATCATCATCATCATCATCATCAGCAGCAGCAGCAGCAGCAGCAGCATTACTGACATCACCATCATCATCATGATCATCATGATCATCATCATCATGATCATCATGATCATCATCATCATGATCATCATCATCGTGATCATCATCATCATCTTTATCATCATCATCAGCATTACTGACATCATCATCATCATCATCATCATGAGCATCATCATTGGTGTCTTCATCATCATCATCATCATGAGCATCATCATTGGTGTGTCTTCATCATCATCATCATCATCATCATCATCATTATCATCATTATGATGATGATTATTATCGTCATTATTAGTTTGTTATCATTAGAGTTTGCTCTTCAAGGCATCCTTCGCCTTTCACATTAGCAGGTGAGTGGGTCGTCATCATCATCCTCATTATCGTTATCTTCAGGGTGTTGTCCTTCGTCATCAACAAAATCCAAGTGAATGACATTTTGGTGAGGGGGAGGGGGAGAGCCCAGCCCCGCCGTCATCATCATCCTCATTATCGTTATCATCAGTAGGCGGGTGGTGAAACACTGGAGGGGGTACGGGCAGATTGTGAGGAATACTCTTTTCTGGGGTTGGGGCATCAAATCCCAGCGGGATTAGGGTAAAGGGATAGATAGGGGAATGGAGAGAATGGAGGAATCATCTCATCATCAAAATCATCATCATCATCATTATCATCCATGTTATATCATGCTTTCTGGTGTGCTGTAATTCTCGGCTGTATCTGGCCTCCTTCCTTAATCGGGATATAGGATTTTAGAGATGGTCGAATCTGGACCGATATCTACAGAATTGCTTGTCTTTGCCCCTGGTTTGGCGATGCCAGAACGACGCTGGCCGGAGTTGGGGCGTTGCCCTGTAACCTGCAATTGGCAGGAGTGTGAGGCCTTGTAGAGAGATCTGGGGATTTGCCGAGGGAGGAAGGCAATCCAGTGGCGAACCGGGGGGGCTGCCTTGACAACCTATGGGGCCAGGGATAGTCTAGGTGGTGAGAACAGGTCAGCTATGGTAGACATTGGTTAGGAGGGTATTGCCTCTGAGATGTAATGTCCTGGTGCAGGGAGGGCTGGGAGGGTTCGAAGATTAGGAGGCCAGAAGTGTTGTTATAACATAGTCTTCTATATTTTCCACATACTAATCATCATATTCATCATCATTATCATCATCATCATCATCATCATCATCATCATCATCATCATCATCATCACATGATTAGTATCATCATCTGATTATTGTTATATTAAGCTTTTTGGTGTTCTGAAATTTTGGCAGCATCTAACATTCTTCCACATTCGGGATATAGGACTTCAGAGATGGTTGAACCTGGACTGATATCTACTGAGTTGCTCTGTTCTGTGCCCTTGGTTTGCCGATGCCAGAACAACGCTGGCCGGAGCTGGGGCGTTGCCCTGTAACCTGTAAATGGCAGGAGTGTGAGGCCTTGTAGAGAGATTTGGGGTTTGCTGAGGGTGGAAGGCATTCCAGTGGTGAACGGGGGGGGGCTGCAAGGAGGCAGGAAGAGATCAGCTATGGTTGATGTTGGTTAGGTTGGTTTTGTCTCTGAGGTACAGTGTCCTGGTACAGGGAGGGCTAGGAGTTGTACTAGGATTAGGAGGCCAGAATAGCTGATATAGCATAATCTTCTATATTTTTTCATATATTTGAATCATCATTCTCATTAGCAGCATTATCTATTGTATCATCAGTATCATCATGGTCATCATCATAACCATTTGAGGGACGCTGAGCCCGGCTCTCAGCAGTTTCGGTTCGATCACTCCGAGCAGACTGTGAGGACCCCGGCCTCAATCTTATTATTGGTAATATCAGCCTTGGGCACCGGGCCCGGTTTCAAAAAAAAAGAAAAAAAAAAAAAGAAAAAAAAAAAAANAAAAAAAAAAAAAGAAAAAAAAAAAAAGAAAAAAAAAAGACGAGAAGGACAGATCGCTGTGAAGATCCGGAGGCCAGCTTGCCTGATGGAAGGTAAGAAGCAGTCTCCCTGATTGGAGAAGAACACCCCAAATCATGCAAAGCCTCCATAGCAAGTGTCGGGACAACAGGCGCAATTGATGAAGGTGATGGAGGCAGCGTCAGTGGTGAAGCGATGCCAATTAATATCCCCGCTAAAAGCACAGGAGCCTCACTCCCTGCTGGCTTCGGCAAAACTGTCGACAGCTCACCCGCAGCAGGAAGTATCATCGATACTGTTGATGGTGAGCTCGATGCCTGATTGCAAAATCCCCCCGTTTCGTTAGATCCCGTTGCAATGCACGCCGGAGCAATCGTCTGAATAGAGACAGCTCCCGACTTGTTTGATATCTCCTTGATGCCTACAGGAGCGTCCATCACCTTTTTTAATGTCAATGAACTCGATGATTGATTGTTAAGCACCCAGGTTCCATCAGATGTCATCGTGGTGCACGCCGGAGTAATCATTTGAATAGACAAAGCTCCCAGTTCGTTTGATACCTCCGTACTGCACACAGGAGCAATCGTCGCAGATGTAGATGTTGTAGTCGGTATAGCAGTGAAAATATGTGATCCTGTTGTAGATGTCATCACAGGTTGAGTGATAGGAGACTGTCCATATGCCGCTGAGTTGACTGACAGTTCTCTGCCCAAGCTCTCCACCAGCACTGGCCCCTGCGCTGCCTTTCCTGAGTGGGTGACAAGTAGCTGATTAGGAGCAGCCATGCTCACTGGCAGCGCTCCACCGTCCCTAACATAATCAACGGTTCTTTCCTCACTTGCTGGCCCCCCCATTCGTGCACCATGATAGCAGAAATAACTGGCCTCTTCACCTTCCGGTCCCAGAACTGAGCGAATTGCTAGCCCTGTACTTGTGCTATGCTTGGCTCTTCCTCAAATTGTTCACAGATATTCAGACTGTCTTCAAATAAAATGGATTTGAAAGAACTGAACCTTCCAGCTCACTTCAGAAAACTGCTGAACGTGACTTTCTAACCATATCAGTTGCAACCATCCTGAGGTGTTCCCCGGCCATCGCCTCATTCACGGGGGCCGGGGACCCATCGGCCACGGTTCAGTACAGATTCCCCGAGCTGTAGATTTCAACATCCTTACATTTGTCCTCATGTACTGAAGAAGCAACATCTGGGTGTTCCGGTTTGTCTTGCTGTTGCATACTGTAACTGTCCAGACCAGAACAAGAACTGACCTCTCAATGCAAAGTACACGATAGCTTAGTGGAAGACTTAGATACCAATGATCCAAACAATCAATATTGCAATGCAGCCCTGAACATACATCATCATCATCGTTTCATGGTGTGAAAGGGGTCTGGCGCTTCACACAGGAAGACTGCGCCAGCCCCAACCATACACAGACGAAGAAGAAGGGGGTTAGACAAAGAGGAGGGGAAGATGGGAATGTCGTCAACACCAAGTCTTCGGCACAGGCCC